GTTAGAACCCTCTCATCTGCCCATGCACATTGGCTTGCCAATGATACCCATATTTGGAGGACTTCTGCAAAAATGTGACACAATCGTGATACACTGTGGATTATATTTTCAGAATTGCCCTCAACAAAGGCCACCAATCCAGAAAAGGCGGTGATCTTCTTATTGAAACTTCTATTAGTTCATCATCTTCAGGGGTGGGCACGCTGTACAAAGAATTGTGTGTATCATGCTGCCAATAAATAATGATTATATTTTAAATGATAATTACTAAACTAACCAGATTTTTAAGCCACTCTTCCATAACCATACGAAATTAGAAGTCAAAGGTTCATTGTGGTTTGGGTATAACCCATTGAGGATGGGAACCACTTTTTATTGGTTTTGTTTTCTATAAAGAAAAGTGGTCATGGAGATTTAGGAAGAACTTGGGGCACTTTGGTCTATACTAGTGGAGGGTAAGCATGGCCCTGAAGACAAGTGGCATTTAGGGAGTAAAGAAGCCAATAAGATCTTTAGTAGGAGAAGAGTAGGTTTTATGGTTGCTGCTTCATTATGAGGTGAGTGATCTCGTCAAGTTATTGGACTATGCATGCAATGTTAAAATATTCAGCCGCCTAGACACCTAGGCGTGCTCCTTGGGTGTCCTTGCTTCTAGACGGCTAGGCGGTTGCCTCAAGGTGTGCTCCTAGGCAGTACTTGGAACAACTTGGCCAAGGGCAGCAAAGGGCCTCAGCTAAGGGAAAAAGAGTACTTCCCCCAACCACCACTCCCTCGAGACCCCCCTCCCCCCCCTGTTTATTTCAAAAAGATGGCTTCTTTTGTTCTTTAAACGTGATTTTGAAATGATCAGTGATGATTAAAAGGACCACTCTGGTCTCTGGATGATATGTGGTACTAAATGTGCAAGGGACCCTCGTGAATTAGGGTTAGTTGCATGTTTTGGTTGGATGGGAGATTAATTACAAGAAAATTAAGAAATTTGGCTAAAACCCACAAAAACTTATAAAACTTTTGACTACGGATCCATGCAATATGGGTTCATATTACGCAACAAAGAACTTGTGTGAAAAAGCAAAAACATATTGTGTATATTCCTTTATGCATTTGAAGTGATTGGAATATCGTTGTTTGAAATAAATGGACTATAGTGCAAAAAAAATGTCTACGTTTAAGATAAATAGACTATAGCCAAGGTGCCCTTCCGCAACCCCCCAAAAAAACCAGGCGATGTTGTTTTTGGCGTCCTCCTCCGTTTTTTTAGACATTGTATGCATGTATACTGATGCTATTTTTTTGTGCAACCGTGGGCTTGTGGTTGTGGTCCATCATGGAATTTCTCAGTTTATCTTTTTCTTACTACAAGATCTTGACAAAGATTTACCCATGGCAGAAGGCCTGGATGGTGGCATGTGGGATTTCTGATCCCCTGATTCTGTGTAGGAGGTCTTGACTGTGATTTGGGTGAGTAGAGGGACTCGACCTCCTTATGGATAGCGGGTTCTTAGCATAGCAATAGGTTTGTCTTGGGGGTTTATAAGTTCTTCAAGCTTTCTGGCCTTCTCATAATGTTGAAGGGATTGTAAGACATTATCTCTTGTCCATTGTTCTATTGCAGAGATGGAGTCATCTTTTCTTCTGGTGGATGACCTTAAATTGACATTTTTGTTGATGCTATTACTTTCTTAATCCAAAGGAGTTTTTCTTTATAACTAGGGCTATTTCCATTGGGCACAGTTTCTACTTTTTATTTTTCTTTTTATTGTGTACTGCCTACTTCATTTTGTGCCTCAATGCAAAAATTTTACAGCTACAAGTTTTATCTTTTTCTTTGTTTGCTATCGCATCCATTTTGTGTGGCAAGATATTTCCATTTACCTATAATTCAAACTCTGTGGCTTCTAGTGTGTGGCTTTTATCTATGAATATTTTAATACTTTTACCTTACCTTTCTGGTGTGTTAGGTTGTAATGATATATTTGCCTTTGTGCATTAGTTGATTTAAGATACTCTTCATCATGTTGTTGCATTGCCCTCTCAAGTATGCATGGTTTACATTGTTAATAATCCATTCCTTTTTTTAATATTTCTTGGCTGGGTTGTGTTTTGTTTGGAGCACTAAATGTGTCCTATCAAGGTAAACTCTCCTGAATGTATGCAAAGAAAAGTGTGATTCCGAATTTATTCAATAGACTTCTCAGATTTCTCGTGGTCTTTTTCTGGGCAGGTATTTGAGTGTACATTATCTTCTGAATCTGGTTCAATGGGCAATCTAAAGATTAGACAGCGAGTGCCAAGCAAGGGAGCAGAGGCTACGCTTTTTGCACAACTTACAACTGATGGTGAGCATGAGTGTGAGGAGAACATCCTTAATGGCGAGGATTCTGGTCTAGAGTCAGATGATTTCACTATTGCCGATGTGGGTTGTGAATTTGCCATGCTTAGTGATCAAATTTTCAGTATTCCTTATGAACTCTTTGATCTCCCAGATCTAAAGGAAATCCTATCCTTAGAAAGTTGGAATTCATGCTTAACAGAGGAAGAAAGATTTTCTCTCTCAGCCTACCTTCCTGATATGGACCAGGAAACATTTAGGCTCACAATGAAAGAGTTGCTCAATGGTGAAGACCTATATTTTGGCAGTCCTTTAACGGATTTCTTCAATAGATTGAAAGGTGGGTTCTTTCCTCCTCCGGTGACTCATAACAGAGAAGGGCTCCTCTATTTACAGAGGAAATTGCACTATGTCTCACTGAGAAGATACCAAGAGCAAATGTTGGAGACCTTCTTGAATATGAAGAAGAAATGGGAAGAATGCAGGCCAGGATTAACTATTGAGGAAAGGATTCGAATTTGGAATATATGCAAGACTGGGTACCCTAGCTCCCGAACGGATCATGGGCAAGAGGATCAAAAGATGTTATCTGGATCTTTTAGCAATAAAAACAAGCCCATGATGCCTTACCCAACAAATGGAATGGTGCCCGTTGCTGTAAAAAGTAGTGGTAAGGGAGTTCTAAAACTCAAAACAACAGCAAATAATTCCATACAAACAGGCATAGAAAAGCTAGAGATGACTGATACAAGGCCTCGACCCAAAGGTGTACTCAAAATAGTACCTCGAGGCCATCTCACTAGAACTGAACCACCAAGAGCAGTGCCATTTAAGAGAGAGAAAGGTCCCTTGCCTCCTGCATTCATAGTTCCCAAAGATCCCAGGTGGGGAGGAGAGCTCCTCAAAGAAGAAGACCGCAATGACGGAAAGAGATTTTCAGAAGATTTGCACAACCCAAGGAGATATTATCGTGGAAGTAGTGTAAGGGAAGAGCACTTCTACCACGATGAACTTTGGGGAGCTCCGACTAAGCAAAAGAATGAGCTTCACTCAAGCATATACAGATACCCATCAGAGCCTTATTGTGATTTAGAGGAGCATCAAATTACTACATTGCCCCTTGATATGGGACCAGTTTTTAGGGTTCGCGGTGAAAGCCAAGGGCACATGTCGGAATTTCACAGTGAGGAGCAGCCAGTGTATTCAAGAAGCAACCATTTAGTAGACTCTAACAAGTATTATGATAGTGTACCAAGGGCGAATGACGGGAACTTGCACAAGAAACAGCAAAACCGAATTTCAGAGGGCCCTGAAGGTGGTTATGCGCTGCCCAAAATCTACAAGAGGAAGAAAAGTAGCAGGAACCTTGAGCCAGTGGATTTTGCAAGGAGGCCGACTGGTTTAGGAGAACCTGAGGAAATTAACTACCAGCATGGTGAGAAAGCTAAGAGTGTGAAGATAAGGATTAAGAAATGGAAAGACTAATGCTCTTGATAGGCAGTCTCTACAAGATATTGCACCTTCAGGGTGATGAATACAGCATATGGTTGGTCGAATTCATTTGATAAAGGCCTTCACAGAGGTAGCCATTCTGATGCCACATTGATGGGGAGATTATCTTGTTATAAGCTTTGGAATGTGAATTTTGCTGGGTTCTCATTTGGCGAAGGTTGGATCTGGAAGCATAGTATTGGAAATGTCTTCGCTCAATGATTAGTAGAGCTCTGATTCAAGAAATCAGTTTTTGAAGCTATATTTTGGTGGTGGAAAGGAAGAAACATACTATCTGAATGAAAGATTTGCTGTGACTTGATGAACTCACCGCTCCTTTTCTTCTCTGTAACAGTGCAACACTGTTTTTGGATACATGAGCCCCTGCTCTCTGTCTCTCTCCCTGTCTCTCTCCCTCTCTCTTTCTCTCTCACACACACAGATATAGTCTGGTATGGGGTGTAAATGTGTACATTACATGATGTATATGCAGCTGCATTTTGGATGACTGGGTAGACGCAACACCATTGGGTTGCTGTCCTTCCAGTGAGGGTGGCACTGTTCTCTTGTATTCACTTGACTGGATTATCTGTAAAAATGTTCAATGAATAGCTTGTTAACGAGTTAGTTATGGAAAGCTTCTGACATAAACATACATAACCTTTTGAGAAATGACTCTTTTAACTGGTTAACTTGGAAGAGGGTTTTGGCACTAGCCTCTATAATTTAGTTTTTACTTTATTCTGGTGGTATATCAGCAGTGGGAATCAAACCTGGTAAGTAGTGCTGCTTTCAGATCTCTATATTCAACATGCTGATACCTTAGTTTAGATTCTGAGCTCACTTTTTTCATCCATCATTTTGCAGCTTGAATTTGCAAGCCTCATACTGCAAGGTGAGGCAACTCTTAAGTTGAGCCAACTAGCTGAAAATATGTTTGGAAAGTTTAATTTTTTTTTCATGAAATGGAGAGTTTACCTGTGTATGCTGACATGGAGAATTTAGTCCAATTACGTGGGAAATACGAGACAGGAGAGTTGCATGTAGGAGGAATGGGAATGGCCTGCCCCAACGACATTCTGGATCGAGGCTTTGAATCTGGGAGGTAATGGGGCACCTTGTGGATTAACAAAGGAACCAGGAAGTGTTTGAAGATGGACAAGTTGTACATGAAAGTACAATGCGCTGCACTTGTTCAGTGGGCAAATATTGGATGGATAAAAAGGCCCTCTAATCATGGACTAGGAACTATTACAAATGATGCACTATTCATGCCAATGATGCTTTAAGATTAGTGGGGATTGATCAGATGAGCAATTTAAAGTAAGAGAAGAACCTGTTTAGAAAATATGAATGTGGAATTGAGTGAATGGGGATTCAAAGAACATAGACCAAGGAAAAGCAAATAGGTGCAAAGGAAGATGAAGGAACTGAACTGTAACCAGATAACTTGGTCTAAGCCTTGAGGAGCCCAATAGAGTATTAAATGGTTGCAAGAATAGTGAATTACGCCAATCCTAGTTATGTAGACATCAAGTGAGATCAACCTAACCTTTGAAGTAGGCAACAAGAGGTGTCAGCGTTCGATTTTGGGTGGTGATAATCCTCATAAAAGGGACAAGAACATTGATTCCAAAAGTTCAAACGAGAAGAAACCAAAATCAGAACCAGGAACCTCGGAATATTAACTGCTGCAAATAAAGTATGGATTAGGCATTTTTGAGACGGGCTATTGAGAAGCAGAGGACAGTTAATGGAACTTGTAGAGGACAATTAGGGAACATTGGTCAAGTGACAGATTCTTAGGATACTAGTGGAGGCACGTGCGTTGCACATAGCTTATGATAATATAAAATAGAAAATACAATATTAATTGATATTGTATAAAGTAATCGATGTACATATTGTTAATTTTATCTCATAGATGATTCTAGCTATCCATTTAGCTTACAAAAGATTGTATACAATGGTTATGCTGTCTCTTAAGGTTTAACATGCTTATTTTTATACGTAGAAAGCAAGTAGTTAAATAAGGAAAAATTGGAAAAAAAATGATAAGATGATTTAATAGAGTACTTTGGGGTGGAAAATAAAAATCATTAATGAAGAAAATAATTGAATTAGAAAATGTAACTAAGTTCAGGATCTCATCAAAAAAGAAAGATTGGAATATAGTTGCATTTAGAGCATGCAATGTATGACTCTTTAAAAGACGTCCAACTAAGCAAGTTGTGTATGTGTAAAGCTATTTGCGAACTTTTTGTGAACCTTTTAATTTTGTAACTCGAGCTAGTATTTTTTATTTCAAGCTAATTTCTTGATGATAACATAGTGGTTATAGTGGTTTTTATGTTTTATGTGGAAGTTGGATAATGTTAGTATTCTTCCTTGGATTTTTTAATCCTTTGGAGATGTGTATCTTGAAATTGGTATTTACTGGAATTGGCATTTTCTCGAATATGGGTGTATATTGTTAGCATAGCATCTAGTAGAGACTAGGAAGTTGCAAACTCACTTTTTAGATTGTTTGGAACATATTTTTTTTGAAATTCTGATTTTTTTGTGAATTATTATTATTCTAAAATTAATCATTTTTTTATGTTGTGATTATTGAATCCTTTTTTCTAGTGTTTGTCAAAGTGATGCAACATTTCAACATTACAGAGTTTTACAGAGTTTGCAATGTCAGTTCTAAAAACACCCAAAATTTGACATGATATATTACTCATAAAGTCGCATTTTATGGTGAAGCAACAACATGTGCCATAGGTCTGAATTTTATTTCATTTGTCCTCATATCGCATTCCTTTTACTGAGGTGAATGCAATTTACTGAGATGAATACAAGAAATAGATGGAGAGAGAAAGTGATGAATACAAAGAAGATATGTACATATGGAAAAAGCTGAGATTAACCCACTAGCTCATATGAACATATGAGTCAAATGGTTTAGATTGAATATGGGTTGATCTGACAATCACAGATATCTGATAATGTTTGAATTTTTTTTTTTTTTATTTTGGTTTTTTTTTTTATCACTTGAAATTTTAGGTGTATGCTCTTTTCATAAAGGCTTACCTAATAAAAATATTAAAAAAAGTTTTTGTAAAAAATAAAATGACTAAAATACCCCCAAAATTTTAGGGGTATTTTGGTCAATTTATTTCATGCAAAATATTTTTTTTGATATTTTTTGAATATTTTTCTATTTTTTATAAACACACGCTTAAAATTTCAAATGATTTGGATTTGTAGAAAGGCAAATAAAATTCAAACACTATCGGACATCCATGATCGTCAGATCTGCCCGGATTGAATCTTGACTGTTGGGTTCATATGTTCATATGAGCTAGTAGGCTAATTACAACTTTTCCATATATATATATATATGGGACAAGATCCTGTCAGCCAACGGCCCAGATTGAATCTGAGCCCAAGTCACTTGTCACAACCTCATTTTGTATTTAAATTTTCATTTTGAAATTTTGAACAACTATTCTTAAAAAATATTAGAATCTAATAAAAATATTAAAAAAATAATTCGTGAAATATAAATTGACCAAAGAC